CACTCAACCTTTTTCTATGTCTGGAGCTAGTGCAAATGTTGCAACTTGCCAAGGTGAAAGCACTCGTGGCTGTTGCTGTGGTAATCGTGGTAGTTTTTCTTAAGGGAATCATCAATACAACAATCAAAACCACAATGGTGGCAACCGTTCCAATCTCTGGTGCCAATTATGTGAAAAATGGGGTTATGCAGTTCATAAATGCTTCCACATGTTTGATATCACTTTCCTTCAACCCACCAAAAATACTAATGCACAGACAATGCTCGCTGCTGATCAACAGCACGGGGAGGATGATTGGCATCCCGACACTAGAGCCACGCACCACTTGACCTCTGACTGCAATTACCTCACTATTCATGGTGATGAATACAATGGTTCAGATCAGATTCAAGTTGGAAACAGAGTAGGTTTGCATATTTCCCATATTGGTACTTCCGCTCTTACTACTCCCTCCCGCTCCTTTGTCCTCAATCAAGTCTTAGTGGTACCAGGAATTTAAAAAAACCTCTTGTATGTTCATAAATTTGCTCTTGGCAATCATGTCTATTTTGAGTTTCATGATTCTTTCTTTCTTATTAAGGATTACTCAGGGAACATCCAGCATAAAGACCATCTTCGTGATGGTTTGTACTACTTCTCACCTCCACTCCAAAAACTTTTAGCATCGGCTTTGTAGGCGCCCACATTCCCTTCTCGAATTGGCATCATAGACTAGGCCATGCTTCCTATCCAGTTGTTCAGAAAGTCCTTTCAGGAAATAATATCCCGATTGTCGAGAATAAGAGACAAATTGTTTGTCCTGAATGTCAAATGGCAAAAAGCCATAACTTGTCTTTTTCAATTTCAAATTTTACAGCTTCTCAGCCTCTTGAGTTGATTTACTCAGATGTATGGGGGCCTTTAGTTGTAGTTTCCACTTATGGATCTCGATATTATATTTCTTTTGTTGATGATTTCAAGCGTTGGTTGAGCCTCTTGTACACAGATGTAAGGCATCTGATGTTGAGCCTATTTTTCTTTAATTTCAGACGTTGGTTGAACGTTACTTTGACACCAAAATTAAATCAATGCAAACTGATTGGGGCGGCAAATATCGTAGACTCAACCAATATCTTAAAACTTGTGGCATCAGACGTCGTCTTGCTTGCCCTCACACACATGAACAAATGAGAGTTGTTGAACGGCGTCATCGTCATGTAGTTGAAATAGGTTTGATCCTTTTAGCTCATTCAAATCTTCCACAACATTACTAGGAAGATGCCTTCCTTACTGCTACTTACATAATAAACATGTTACCTAAAAAACTTCTTCAGCAAAAATCTCCTTGATATTCCTTACCTTGTGAAGGCTTTGCTTTTTTAAGGTCAAGGGTTCAAGTCCCCCCTCCCCTCTCCTCTCCCTCTCCACAAAAAAAAAAAAAAAAAAAACAAAAACTTGATTACCACTTTATGCATATCTTTGGTTGTGCATGTTGGCCAAACTTGAGATCATATAACAAACATAAAATTGATTTTCGCTAAAAACGTGCATCTTCATTGGTTATACCCTCTGTCATCATGGTTACAAATGTCTCGACTTGTCAACCGGGTAGGTTTTTGTGTCCAGACATGTTGTTTTTAATGAGACCCTCTTTTTTTATTTTAACAATCTTGAATCAGAAGTCCAATCAGGTCATAACTCTGTAATACTTCCTGCTTCCTTACAAGTATCCCCGAGGTCCTTTGTTGTTTTTGCAGGTACATCTTTTGTGCTCCCTCTCCTTGAATCTGGACTTGATCATTGTGTTCACCGAGCAGAGGAAGAGACAAGTGTTCAAGTGATTCCAGCAAGGGATGCTGAACTAGAATCAATTGTTCCTGTTATTGCAGCACCTGTTTCCACTCGTCCTCAATCCTCCAAAGTTCTACCATCGCATCAGATGGTAAGTAGATCCAAAACCAACTCCCTTAAGCCAAAGTTATAGCATGATGGTACAATTAAATACCCATTACCACGGGCATTACTAGCAAAAGCAACTACCATCACCGTTGAACCTTCAACTTTCACTGAGGTAGTGAAGCGACCAGTATGGCATGCAGCTATGAATAGTGAATTTGATGCACTTCTCAGAAAACGGCACCTGGACACTTGTTCCATCATGACCAGACATAAATTTGGTTGAAAATAAATGGATTTATAAGGGGAAAAAGAAAGCAGAAAGTACCATTGAACACTTCAAAGCAAGGCTTGTAGCCAAGGGGTACCACCAACAGCAAGGTATTGATTTCCATGAGACATTTACTCCAGTTGTTAAGCCTGAAACTATTCGTCTAGTGCTCTCTATAGCCATTTCTCGCAACTGTTCAATCAAACAGATTAACATCCAGAATGCTTTCTTGCATGGAATCTTAAATGAAGAAGTGTACATGAGTCAGCCACCAGGTTACTCTCATCCTGGTTTCCCTCAATATGTCTGCACACTTCACAAAAGTTTGTATGGGTTACGTCAAGCTCCGCGAGCTTGGTTTTCAAGGCTCATGGATAAACTTGAGTCCCTTGGTTTTGTTGGTTCAAAGGCCAACACTTCCTTGTATGTTTTGAATCAAGGCTCCATGCGACTTTATTTCTTGATATATGTCGATGACATAATCATCATAGGATCTGACTCACAACATATTGATACTATCATTTGGCTCATTGGACAAGATTTTCCCATTAAAGATCTTGGACAACTCAATTTCTTACTCGGGGTTGAGGCCCTACCAACTAGTGCGGGCTTATTTCTTACACAGCTTAAATACATTGTGGAATTACTCAAGAATGCATCGCTGGATAAGGCTAAACCTTGCACAACTCCAATGTCCATCACTAAGCAGCTTTCAAAGTTTGAAGGCACCGATTCTGAAGACCCTCAACTCTACAGAAGTGTGGTAGGTGGTTTACAATATCTTGCCTCCACAAGGCTAGATATTGCCTTTTCTGTACATAAAGTAAATTCATGCATCTTCCAAAGGACCTTCACTGGCAGGCAGTGAAACGAATACTACAGTACCTCAAGCATACAATTTCCCACGGTTTATAGTTCACTGCCAATAAAATTCATGCTCTTCAAGGGTTCTCTGATGCTGACTGGGCTTCAGATAAAGATGATCGTCGGTCTGTAGGTGCTTATTGCGTCTGTCATGTACAAAATTTGATTACTTGAAGCTGCAAGCAACAACAGACAGTTGCATGTAGCAGCACTGAGGCAGAATACAAAGCCCTATTGAACATAGCAGCAGAATTGCAATGGTTACAATTTGTCTTGTTTGATCTTGGCCTACCATTGCTGGAACCACCAAAGTTATGGTGTGATAACATAGGAGCTACATACCTAAGCTCCAATCCAGTCTTCCACGCTAGGACTAAACATATAGAAATCGATTTTCATCATGTTCGCGATCAAGTTCTGTAGAAGAAGTTACAAGTGTGTTTTCTTTCATCCAAAGATCAATTAGCTGATCTACTGACTAAGCCTCTCAGCAATGTCCGGTTTCATACTTTAAAACACAATCTTCATGTCTAGGAGTTTCCCATTCGATTGCAGGGGCGTATTGAATCAGATGTATTTCAGCAGACCAAGTCAGCTGCTTTGAATGAGGAGTCAGTTGCACTAGATAAGGAGGAGCAGTTTCATCCTAGGCGTGCTCAACTGTCTAACAAAAACTAGCTGTTATATTTAAAGACTCATTCCCTGTAACAGATAGGAGTAAATATAGTAGATTAGTTGGACTACACTTCTATATAAAGTTTATAGGTGATATACTTCAAATTATTCAAGGAAACAATAGTTTTTAAAGCATCTCTGCTTAGAATTATTTATACTCTACCACTATGTCTTAACCAGTAAAACACTGCCAAATAAAAAAAAAATCCATATTCCATACTCAGGCCTGTGTATCCTCAACATGATAAGCTAAAAATGATGTGGTAGATTGAGTCATTGGATAATTAGTGAAAGCTTGTAGAACAAACTGATTCTATGGTTCATATTGATTTGAGATTGAGAAATTGATAAAAATTTTAATGGATGTAGCATTGTTAAAAGAATTTTGCACATATAAGGTTTCCATGTAGACAGAAAGATCTTGCCATATTTATTGGGGTTTGTTGCTTTCCTAGTGATCTTAACCACATATACGTTTACATTTACCCCTTTTTTTGATGGCTAAAACAAGACAATAAGACCTATAAAATATACAAAAAATTCAAACAATTGTGAGAAAAAAAATCTATATAATAAAGTAAAACGAATTTTGAATTTTAAAGAAAAAGAGTGGTTCAGATTATTTCATGATTAAAAAAGACACCATTCAACGGACGATACAATTCAAAACTGTTTGAAGCTCTTGAAAATTTTTTAGGGCTCAAAACTTTTAGTTACCAAAATTAACTTCCATAATTAACTGCCCAAATAATTATATCGCCAATTCTTTTCCTAATATTTCGACCTTTCCATATGAGAAGGCATGTGATCACCTTTCCATACCAGAAGGTATCCCCAAAATCTTGCCCTAATGTCCCGCCCAATTCATGTCCTAATCTCTTTCCCAAATCTCCTCTCTCCCCCTCCATACTTTGTAAATCCACTGCGTTCTCTCTCTCACCCTTCCTCTGTAAACTTTTGAAAACAAAGCACGCACATCACACACACACACTCTTGCCCTTTTTACCCTTTCACACACAAACCCAGAAAGAAATATTACTATACACATATACCCTTCGTTTCCTCAATTAGACGACCAAAATCATATTAAGTTTCCAGTTATTCAAAAATGCTGACACACACCTCATAAGTCATATAAAGAAAGCTATCAAAGAAAAGTAGTGGTCAACATAATTTTCTAACTGTTAAGATGTCCCTCCGTTACAGCTTAATTAGATAATTCGATAATACATGTTCCATGTTGCATGTGGGAGTCATATCAACAAAGAAATCGAGATACGACCTTACCGTATAGGTTGATTCCCCAATCTGTGTCCTAGGAGTTTCGCACCCAGTAAAATTTTTCCCCATCCTCCTCTCCATAACCCACCACCAGCATTGTATGGCTTCCGTACAGGTGTGAGTATTCATTGATTGGTCCTGTAAAGATTTCCTACAGAAAATGGTACAATTGAAGAAGAAAATATGAACAACTCTACAATTTAATTATACTTATACTATTTTTGCTATATTTAACTCACATTCTCGAGTTCAATGAACTCTTGAGTCGTTTTTATAACACCAGTTATTGGGTGGCAATTGATGAGGTTTATGATGATTTTCTCAGCATAATTGGTAGGCACCATGGTAAAGTTCTTCAGTTTAAGCCTCGGTATCTGAAAAATTAAACACATAAGGAATAGTGATATTTAATAAATATTCAAAAAGTAAGTTTTACAAGTATATACATCTTACGATTTGGAGGGGCTCACAAAGACATCTTCTCGCTTGGAAAGGATAATTATGCCATAATTGGTGACATAAGTCAAAGACTTGCGTGTGGAAGAAAGCATACAACTTTTCTTGTCGACATCCTCCATAGTCTTTTTACTATGCTCGAATTTTTCGTGCACACAGTCAATAATCTCTTGTGGTCCAAGAGTGATTTGAGGCTCAGTAATGCATTTCAAATTGTATGTAGCTTGACATGCCGCACTGACTGCAATGGCATACATAGATTACCCACATACGGATTTGTAAACGTCTCTCAGAACCTACACATACATAGATTCATTATCTTGTTATACATTGCCCATTGGATTGAAAAGTTATTGAATTTATTTAACTAATAGTTTATTAATTTTTTATTTTTATAAATATTATTTATTGTAATTCAATTTACTATCTATTGTGAAGGTTAAAATTAATACACTATTTGGAAGATGAACAAAGAGTTGTGTAAATTTTCCTATTTATCGGGTGCTACTGTTCCATTGTAATTGTACTTGGTAATAAAGTAGGTTATTACCATTGTTCCATTGTCATCAGATACTTATACTGTAAGGATTTTTAAGACTAAAGTACGTTAACTAGAAGATATGATTCTGGCTAAGAAAATGTTAAAAAAGAAAAAAAGAAGAAGAAGAAGAAAATAGATGAACTAAATCAATCTAAAAAAAAGGGGCCCTTGATAAATTTATTAATAAGAAGAATATATAACAAATTCCAGCAAAAAATAATAATAATCAACCCTTTTACCGGATTGTGAAAATAGAAAAAATATATGTACAAAAAAATAATACTCAGCATCAAGAAATATTAGAAAAAGTGGAATAAACAAAGAATATGCGAACCTTAGCCAAAAAATGGATTCTATTGCTATAAATATCTGTGATCGGGGACAATGGGATGAAATTGATACAAAATCAAGGGATTTATTAGTAGAAAGAGGTCCAATTAGAGATAATAGTTTACTTTTTTTTGGAATGATGAAACCAATAGGCATTTTCAACTATATATTATATTCAAAAATTACATAGAAAATGATTAACATATTTGAAAAATGTTGATAAAGTGTATTGTTTTTGTTGCAAGTTGTTTAATTCTAAATCTAATAGAAGACAACCAGCTAATTATGGTACTAAAGAGTGGAGAAATCTTAGTAGTAAGCTTAAAACTCATGAAATAAGCCACAAACATATTGCCAATATGAATTTCTAGGTTGATTTAGAAATGAGGTTGTTAAAATATTAAACAATACATAAAAATGTTCACAAACAAATTAATAAATAAAAATAATACTGTTAAAATGTGTTGTTTAGAATCATCGTTGTAGTAAAGACTCTTGCTAAAAATAACCTAGTATTTTCGTGGAACAAATGAAAAGACTTATCAAGAAAGTAATAACATTTTCTCAAGCTTAATTGAAATGATTATAGATTTTGATCCAATAATGCAATAACATATTTGAGTATTTAACATGCTGAAATTCATAGTCATTATCTTGGTCATAACATACAAAATGAACTAATACACATCTTAGCACTTAAAATCAAAAGTCTCATTATTAAGAATATCCACAAAGCAAAATATTTTTCAACTATACTTGATTATACTCCTGATGAGTGATCATAAAGGTTTTTTTGTTTTTTTGTTTTGATGAACTTATAAAAGTTATAAAAAAATCTTGAACTTAATGTTAATGAAATAAGAGGATAATGATATGATAATAGATCTAATGGGAAGGGAAAACATCAAGGTGTACAAATAAGACTATTAGATACTAATCCTAGAAAATTCTATACACCATGCGGTTATCATACTCTTAATTTAGTACTTTGTGATATGGATAATTCTTGTCTTAAAGCTATGCCTTTTTTTTTTTGGGAGTTGTGTAACATATATATTGTTTATTTTCTTCTTCAACCAAACTGTAAAAATTTTTACAAGAACATGTATCTAGTTTGTCTGTCCAGTCATTGTCATAAACAAGTTGGGAAAGTCGCATTAAAAGTGTTAAAGTAATAAGATTTCAAACCCTGCAAATTAGAGATGCTTTATTTCAATTAGTAAAACTTATTGAAGATCCCAAAACAAGTAGTGAAGTTAAATGCTTAGCAATATATGAGATTGAAAATTTTGATTTTCTGTTAGGTATGATATATTTTTTGTTGTTAACTTTGTTAGTAAAAAATTACAATCCATAAACATGCATATTGATGTTGCTATAGATCAATTTCATGACTTTATTTCATTTTCAAAAACATATAGAGAAAATAGATATGCATCTTCTTGATCTCATCTAAATAAATTGCAATGAAAATGGGAATATATAGAATATATACAGTGCCAGCCCTACCCCAAGGCAAGTGAGGTGGTTGCCTAGGGCCCCCACTTGCCTAGGGCATGGTTCGCGTATGTTTCATAAAATTATATTAATAAATTATAAAGAATTAAAAAACTTAAGATTTTTTGTAAAATGATCAAAAAGATTTTAAAAATATTGTTCTTGAAATCATAAATATATGTGCATTCAAAAAGAAAAAAAAAAGATCGCATCATATTCTTGTACAAAAAATTATGATTCTATGTTTTTATTTTATCTGAATTTGTAATAACTCTAACCTATTTATACAATTATATTTTCTTGAACTATAATTTTTGAGTTAAGTTGATTTTAATTTAAACATAATATTTTTTTGAAGTTATTTTTCACCTTAAATATACATATCAAAGGATATAAATTTAAATTTTTAAAAATAAAAATTAAATAAATTATTCATCTAAAAATAATTTTTGGACCCTATCTAAAAATTTTGCCTAGGGCCTCAAGTATTACTGGGCTGGCCCTAAACTTATATTCCGTGAAAAATGTAACATTCGTAGAAAAAATGATTCGATGAAAATGATAATGAGGAGACAACACAATCCCCGAAGAATCTTTTAAGGCTAATTATTTTATATATGTAGATCAAGCTATTTGTTCAATTAAAAATAGATTTGAGCAATTTAAATTATATGAAAATATTTTTGGCTTCTTATTTAGTCTAAAAAAAATCAAAACCATTAGATGATGATATTTTGAAAAAATATTGTGTTAACCTTGAGAATTTCTTAAAACATGATAACTTTTTCGATAACAATGAGTTAGATTCATTTTCAAAATTAAAATTCGTAAGAGAAGTTTTAAAACAAACTGCAACACTAAGGGTATGAATCGAAACGAGATTCTCGGGCTCGGCTCGGACTTGGCCCAGATAAAATTCGGCTCGAGGTTGACTTGTGTTCTAAACGATATGAGTTTGAACAATTTTTTGGACTTGTTTAAAGAAAAACAAGTCTAAAAGGTTCATTTCAAGCACGCAAAACTCGACTCATTTATATGTAAAATGATAGAGTTAGTCGGAATTGGTTCGGGTTTGGCTTGGGCTCGGCTTGACTCGTTTTCTAAAGGAGCCGAACATGAATAACTTTTTAGACTCATTTAAAAAAACAAGCTCGCCAAGCTCGAGCTCAAGCTTGCAAAAGCTCGACTCGATTAACACCTCTATGCAACACTCCAATAGAAATATTAAGTTATATCAAAAGACTAGATTTGTTTTCAAATGCATACATTGCTTATTGAGTAATATTGATTGTTCGGTAACGTTTATGTTTTTCATTTTTATTTTGATATTTAGAAAAAACAAGAAAAAAAAACTCGTTTGATAACTGTTTTTATTTTTATTTTTTCTATCATCGTTTTGTAAACGAGGGACGATTTTTAAAAACGAGAAAAAAATATTTTTCCTTTTTTGATTCTATTTTTCGTTTTTTAGAAAATCAAAAATCGTAAACGTTATCAAACGAGCCCTTAATTACTAAATTTGCGTCACAAAAAAATGAGAAGAATAATTTTGAAGTAAAATATTAATCATATAATATATATTTTTAATAAATTTTAAAAGGGCCCCAACTTATATCAAGTCGGACCTGATGATGGTTCCATATTTAATTTCTATATTCTTGTATTGTTTTGCTTCACCAATATTGCAATTACCATTACATTGCAAAACATAATGTAGCGAACAAATAATTGTTTTCAGCAAAATAATTCTTATTTAAGTAATTGTTTTTGGAGTTTTAGAAGGTTGATAAATCTTAGATAACTGTTTTGTGTACAAATTTGTAGGTTATGATTGTTGGAATGTTTTATTTTATTTCCGATTGTATAAAAAATATTCTCATTGGTACTACACATGGCATGTTATTAAACATCGGTTAATGGTTTCCTAACTGAACTAGGATTGTATAGCAGAATCGGTAAAACATTATAACCTATGTGAGTTGTGGTTTCCCAAAAATAAGGTAGTTGATGCCTACCACTCTCCTAGGACTTCTTCGATGGACAGATGCCTAAGAGGATAAGACTCTATATATGTGGTAACCATCTCCCTCTCAATGCTCTTTTTAGAAATCAGTTTTCATCACTTTTATTGTGCATCAGATATTGGGGCAGGGTGCCATATTCTTCTATTGAAAAACTGGAGAGAATGAGGTTGGGAAGAAGGGATCGGTATCGTCTTGTTTGATTATGTAATTTGATTATAATAAATACTCTAGATTTTTTAACAATCCTTGATGGGTTAAGCCCAAGTAGTGCAATTTATGTATTAAAGCCCAACCCCGGTTGAGGAGCCCAACCTCATTGTGAATCCACCAAGTCCAAGACAGCCTAAGGCCGGCTAGACTTCTTGCTTAGCACGTCACCAAGAGGAGAGCACGGGAAGTTTATCTGCACCGCCTTAAGGAGCCCAAGGCCGGCTAGACTTCTTGCTTAGCACGTCACCAAGAGGAGAGCACGGGAAGTTTATCTGCACCACCAAAGGAAGAAAACGGTCTAATCATTGACCACGTTTCATGAAGAGCTCCCCAACCTCTTCCTTCCGTGGAGGATAAGTCGCGATCTTCACCAAAGATAATCTCTAAGCTGCGATAAAGAAGCCTTGAGGATATGTCATGATCTCCACAAGAATGATCTCTTATCTACTATAAAATGGCTCTAATCTGGGAGAGGAAGGGGACACATCCCACCAGAGTCATACAGAAGACGAACCGACTA